AGAGATGGGAATCGTCGCGGCTAACCGGCCGGCATCCACGCTTCAATTAGCTAAAGTGCAGGAGCAACGATACCGATGCGACATCGAGCAGTTCGTCACGGCGATGACTCGTCCAATCGTGGCACCGATAAGAATCTTGATAATCGCGAGACTTCGCGGACTGGAGAAGGTTGTGCGACGGAAAAGTGGCATGTTCCCTCGTGCGCGTTGGGACGGTGCGGGTTTGATCGAGCCTTTTGCTGCCGTGAACGTGTTAACCCTTTACACTTAGAATTTCTTTTGCATTCTTTCCTCGGTAACTGTGTATTATTGCGAAATTTGATTTGAAATACATTTAAAAAGTAGACGGTTTGCAGAGAGAAGTGTAAACGATTCTTCTTATTAATAATATTGAGAATAGCATAATAATATAATCTATTTTAAAAATATCTTAAGAAAGAAGCACACCTGTGAAGAAAATTGATGTCGAGTCACTCTTGATACACGACCGCAAAGAGTTAAGATACAATTCCATAAGGTATTTGGAGTTATTACAATTTTTTTTTTTAGTAAAGCTTTGTTTAGTCTGGGGATAATGTTATAGAGGTTCGACTTATTGGGTAGAGTTTTAAGGAATTAGTGTATTTAAGTAATATTTGTAGAATATTTGTGAAGTTTTTGAATTCAAGAGGCTAGAAGGCTGGAATTTGATCAATCTTCTGTGGAACGGTTTCATGCTTTCTACGTCTTCTGTGGGTTGTTGATTTCTGAGCAGTTATCGGCAACTGATGACGTGCCACTTGATTTTTTTGCAGAATTAACCTTATACTATTTGTAGGAGAAATTGTTGAGCTATACTGAAATTCTTCAATAATGATGTTTATGTTCTGTGGTGATGTTTAATCTATGCTACTACACTAAATCTAATTATTGACCTGTATCACTTGTTCCCCTAATTGCCAATGTATACTACTTTCCTGTACAATGATTGACTTGTACTACGTACCCATATATCGAATAATCTCTTACTACTTGAGGTTTAATACTACTATTGTTTGACCCATAACTGATCAATGTTACTAATTGAACTACAATTGCTGTCCTATATTACTTGTCTGTCGAGTGATTGGCATATACCACCATACACTCTATGGTTAAACTGGACCATTTATCTGTACAATGTTAACCTATGTTATATATATGGTATTAATGGTATTTTAAATATGTTTTATTTTGAAAAAACACAGGAATAGATAATTGAATAAAATACAAATAAATAGAAACGATACAGCTCGCAGTGTACAGGTCTTTTCTCTTCTCAGGTCAACGCAACTCTCTCAAAATCTCTCACCATTCGCACTTAAAAACCATTCTCTCCCCCACAAGCATTCTTCTTACACACACTTCCAACAAATTCTCAAACACACCCCACTCTCACCACCACGCACTCATCATCCTCGCTTACGCATCCTTCGGAAAAAACCCACCAACCCTTGGACCTGGTCTCCATGAGTCCCTTTCTCTTTTATGACCCTTAGAACACTCGCTGTCCCACCGTCTTAAACCTACGATGCTACATATATTTATCCAATGTCTGATGTCATATGATTAATTAAAAAATTATTAATCTTAAACCTTTAATTACCCACCGAATAGTCTTATGCTTGAATATCCAATTTACAAGATTATCAATAACTAACAATTGTATTGGAAATGTAAGCAAATATTTTATTAAAAAAGTGTCAACTGTAAAAATTATCTGCACTTCACAGGGTATTAGCGAAGCATATTCTTTTTCTCGGCATTTCCCGTAGCCGAAGATCAATCGTGGGTAATTTAAGATTCCATCGCAGATGAATTCGACGTCAGAATGAAATTTTATTACCGATTATCCTGAAGGAAGCGCCACAATCCATTAACTCTCATAACTCAACCGAACCATTATTCAATCTATCAAAAGGCTCCTAACTGAATATTACTCTCGCCTAGCCCGTAAAGTGATGAAGCTCCGATAAAACGATCAGCGCGATTTACATCTTGTACGCGGAAGATATTCAGCAATTAACATACAATATCTCAAGGCTCATCTTCACTCAAAAATTACAGTATAATTTCTCATAAATATGTAATGCAATTTTCCCATACACAAATATTTCCAAATGATAAAATAAATTTCTCCTTAATTATGCATGCTCTTCGGAAAGTAATTCCCCTGTCACACAGAACAACGCAATTGACACTATACCTATCACACTTCTCAAGGTAACCAGATTCAACGTTCTTATTCTACAATTGCCGTGAAAACATTCATGCCGAGAATGATTTCAAAAGTTAACTCTTTAAACTCTTCTCGTGTAATCAACTCCATTGATTAATAAGTCATTCTAAATATTTTCCTGCGATTTCCGCTTTCGACATTTGCATCCAAGATGAAACGAAGTCATCGAATTAACCTCAAACATTTCTAACACTAAAGAATATACCATTATATCACAGAATGACTGCAAATTCATTTTAAAAACACCCAACTATTCTCCACGCCAAACACAACAAAAACAACTCAACAAATCAAAACAATTTCTCAAACTTCCACAATCCTCTCAAATACTCATCGCTATTAAACATATTCCTCCTCCACTTCCGAGAGAAATTACCGAACACCTTAATCCGGTGATATAAAAATTAAAATATACCCCAATAAAAATCTCAATAAACACACTGTCCTAATCCCTACAGAAGAATCGAAGGATTCGACTGCTCGGTGGTCCCAACGTTAATCAGTGCAAAATCGAAAGCGAGCATCGATCCACGAAACCAGTATTAGCGAATCAAATGATAGGAACAAGGGAATCGTTTCTGGGAATGTGTCAGCGCAGCGATAACGTTGAAACACGGAGTCGACCGGTCTAGGCCGTTATCGTTTCAGAACTATGCCCCATCGATCGGTAGACTCGCAGCGCGTCTATTTTCTATCCCGCGGAACGTTACGACGGTGCTGTCGCCATCGCCGCGTCGAGAGGATATTTTGACGAGACAGGTTGGAAGCTGTTCCGGAAATCACGATCGCCTTGAGGCTTTGAAATCGAGGAGCCCCGTGACTGCAATTTACACAGGTATGCGGGTCGACGGGACGTCGCCCGTAGGCTGCAACCAGTCGGCCGCATTGTCAACCGGTCGAGACTTGTTTCGATCATCGAGTGTCGGCCGTGTTTGCCGAGGGATTGCGGAATTCATCCCCGCCCCTTCCGCCCCCGTGCCGTCCCTCGTCCCTTGGAACGAGTAAATCAAAAGCGTCGCGTTTACCGCGGCACGACACGCGAAAAAGCCGGCGCGTCGATGTGTTTTCATACGATCGCGGAAAAAGTAAACCATAAATACTTCTTTTGGCTTTTACTTTTGTTTCGTTGTTGGTTCTTTCGGGAGGTAAACCGAAGGAGAAAAATGTATCGGATCGGGGAATAAATAAATTTCCGCAGTTGTGCGATGTCCCGCGGGTATTGGTCGAATAGTGGTTAACGAATGGACGTGTTAACGTGTACCGGATTATCTGGAGATGTATTGAGGTACTTTAATGTTGATGTGAAAGTATTTGTTGTAGGGTTCACTGGAATAGCTAATAGTGGGGTATTTCTTGAGAAATTGTAGGTGATTATGGGAATGGATTTTCATTTGGTGTTTTGTGTAATCAATAATTGTGAAATGTTTTTATTGGATTAAGTGGACATGATTATGAATAAATTGTAACATATAGTATTTTTAGCTTAAAGACGGTTATATATTTATATATAAAAGTTCGTACTGCTTGATGTAAAATATATTCTCTTCTACTCGTTGTAACTTCAGAAATTGGAGGATAAGTAGAGTCGCTTCAGCGGTACATTTTTAATAGCATGGAAATTAGGAAAAGCGGAGAAAGTGGGAAAGCTTAACAGCTTATCTTTAATTTGTTAAAGGAACTTTTTAAATAACCCGCACACTCTTTCCCCGGTTTTATTGCAACCACTTTTTTTTCATTCAACGCAACTACTTTATTTTCATCTTCCCTACTTTATGTAGCACATTCTGAAAATCACGTGCCGCTGGCGTAAAGGGCCATCCATTTATCGTAGAATAACACTGTTGCTCATACAGGAATTACGTCGCGAGGAGCGAGGTGTTAAATATCAAATTAACGTTTCAGTTAATTTCACTTTCATTTATTCAGCTTAACTAAGTTTCGTTCCCGGCGCAAACTCAATAATCACTTGAAAACTACAGTACCGCTGATAATTATTCGAACGACAGAGATTTTACTCTTTTTTTCCTCTCCTCGCTGAACTGATAACACTCTCTTACTCTACGATCTCAGCTTCCACCGTTGAATTTTTATGAAATAAATTAAATGGTGAAAACGGAGCTACGCATGTTATAAGAAAAGGGGACATGTGAACAAACTGCAAAACGCACAAGCAAAGAAGTACTAACAAGAACTTTAATAAAGTTAATTCCACACATGCAAAGAATTATGTAGCAGTACAATTACAAAGTAAGTTTGTCAAGTAAATAAACTTGTCATCAACATTTCTCAGCAAAGAGACATATGATACATTTATTACAGTACGTTCATTGCAAAATGAATGCAAACCAAGGAATATTCATAGTTTCCAAACTATTTAGATCATATTACTACATTTCATGACTGCATCGAACAATTTCTAATTTCACTCCGTGAAACGCTGTTACACTCCAACTGCGAAACTTTATATTTCGAGCGTCCTAAATCGTTCAAATATTTACAAGCAGCGCTAGACGATTCAATTACACCGCGATTTAATGGGAATTACGACAGAGTGTGTCGTGTAGGTACACAGTGATATATTTACGCGTTCGCAAGACGTAAAGCTCTGTGCAAGCTCCAGAGAACCCAGAAAGCTGGATTACCAGCGACGGAACCAACAACGACGGTCCCCTGAACAACAAAGAAAGCTCTGCACACTGGCCAGACAAGGGTTAACCAGGTTATTTGTGAATTTTTGTTTTAGGCCGGCCCATAGTTAATCCACAGAACCAAACTGTGACAGCGAAAGAGGGTGAACCTTTGAGCATCGCCGTCGAGTTTTGCGCGGAGCCAAGATTCACCAAAGTTTTGTGGATATCCGAGGAAAACATGTACGTACCCGGAGCGCCAACCAAAGATGGAGTCCAAGCACTCGCTGTCGAGGTGAGTCAATTATTCTGTTAATCTAGAATGACAAATGTAACACACTGCCAGCTGTCCAGTTCTCACAAGCGCGTAATAACATTTTCAAGTTAAAACTCTTGTAAAACATAAAAGACGTTTGAAACAATAACAGTAGAAATTTAGTAGCGATGATTCTTTATTTCTTATAATTTTTTTATAATTGGGTATAATGAATACAAGATGGAAAAAAAGAAAGTAAAGGAACCAGAAGGAAAGGTGTTGTTACGAGAGGGATATCCCCTATGGATAATTTGTTAATATTAACCTTCATCTTCAAATGACTTTTTGTTTTGGTAATTATTTCGAAATTATTGCATTAAATTATATCATAGTATGAATAGTAAATTCTATTTATTTTTATCTTTAAGGATGTTTATTCTCTTCCTAATTATATTTTTATCTATCTCAATTATTTTAATAATATTTCTACTGGACAGATGTATTTATTATTCAAAAGTCGTAGCTCAATCAGGAAAAAGAAACGATGAGCTGGTTTTTACTTTTCGTTGTTCTAAATTTTTCTAGGAATTGAGATAACGTTTCATTACTCTTTCGTGTGACATTATATCATGTAATTTCTTCGAAATCCATTTCACTTGTGGTACCAGTGAAAAACGTTTATTTCGCTCGTCTAATCCAGACCAGTACCCCGTTTTCACGTGTGCGATGAAGCGAGAACTAATTCCATTTTGTCTGTACAGGCAAACCTCAATTTTCTGCTTTCCAACCAAATAAGAGAGATATTTCGGTGGTCTAACCAAATACTAGCTTTATTCTACTTACGAAATCAAACAGAAGCGCACATTCTACTTGCTTCGGCAAGCAACAACCTTGTTCTACTTGCACACAGAGACAAGAGTCCAATTCCTGGGCTTGTCTGGCCAGATAACTACCTACATTATATGCCCTACCATACGTAACACGTGCTCCTTATTCCTCTGACTAAACAGCATGGTTTACTGCTTGACAGTTTAGAGGAGTGTTGTTGCACTTGCGTGGCTACAGAATTTGACTTTCATTTGACGTTCGCTTCATAACTCGTATTATAAATTTCTAAAGCACAAGAACATATTCATTTTACCAACAATTATTAATATTCTCATATTAATCTGCCACAGTCAATTTTTCCCTTAGTCCAGCTTCTATTAATCCGTAAAAATACGAATTTAGATCAACATTCGCAGTCTAATTACTATTATAATATCAATTAATATTAAATCAGAAAAACCAACGACAAAGAATTATTTTTTACTGTACCTTTTAAACGAATACACTTTCTTCCAATACATTCGCAGAATTTTACTTCAAATGAAAATAAAATAATATCATATAAACATAGTAATCAAATTATAACAATAGTAAACAATGAAAATAATTGTACAACCAAACTCAGTTGAAGCCAAACCGTTCACCCAGCCTCGAAAATGTCTAAAACCCCCGAAGAGACATATTTCTCACCCCAGAAATTCCATGAAAATCTACTCGAACCTTCCATTCTTACCACTCTTACCATCAAGAACCGACGTATCCACATTTAGCCCTACACCACCCGCGTAATTACTTCGCCAAGCGACGGATAACTTGTCGACGAACCAGCAATCGCCGGGCTGCGGACGCAGGCAGCAGCGGCCAAACAATCCGGAGCGGTAGCTAGACGGTACCGAAGCGGCGCCTCTTTTGTCCCTTCATCGTCGAACGTCGGCAAGTTCTTTCGCGACGGTGCACTTCGCGGACAAACAATCTTCCGTTGGAAAAGCCCCGCGTCACGGAGTTGTGCTTGCTCTCCTCCCAAACGACCTCATTGTTGGCCGTGTGCAAATACATCAAGACATCGTCCTGGCGCGACGCGGCACGGCGCGGCACTTTTGTTCTCTCGCCGGCGTGAGCGTGCGCGCCCGCGCGCGCACGCGTCGATCCGCGGGAAATTTCATCGGAAAGTTCCTCTCCGCTATCCGGACTGAAATTTCCGAGGCGTTCGTCGGTACCACGACTGATAGTAGTTAGTACGTGATTTATCCCGCTCGTTCTCTATATCCCTTGTTATCCGGGACTGCAGTAGCGGGTAATTAATTCGTGGAATTGCAGCTCCTCGGCGTGGCTCGGCGGGGAGCCCGGGGATGGGGGGCGGTGCACGCCGCAGATCGGTGCACGTGTTGCGGGGAGCGTAGTTATTTTGACCCAGATTCTGTTTTGAATGCCATACTGTCGATACTGGCTGCGCTAACTATTTCCGTCGAACTTCCCGGCGAAAAATTAATGAACTTCCGACGCCGGTTCTTAATTATGATTACACCGTTTGTTCCCTTGTTTGTATTGAATTCAGAGGTAGGAGTGATTAAATGGGGAACTGCGATTGAATTCGGTGTTGCTTTTGAACAGCGGGTTTGAGGATTTGTATTCGTAACGGGTTTGGATTTATGTGTATTGTGCTTTGAAGTAATTGAGTTGAAGCGAGAGTTTGGATTGCGTTAGATCCTTTTTCCGTCACGTTGGTGTCGCGAATGAATTTTGTGTTAATCTGCGAATATATGCGTTGCAATTTAAGAGCGCTGACTGTTCACAGTGAGCCTTCGCCGACGTGAGACGGGAAACGATGAAAATGTTCCTATTATATTACCTGTCTGACCAACTACAGACTTGTTTCACTTGTCTGATTAAACACAGCCCCTTTTATCTTATTTGAGCAAGTGCAGTGACTACACTGCTGCACTGCTCCTTCTTTTTTGTTTGATTAAACACAGTAATGCTCTTCTTGCCTGACCAAGCACATTTCAATACCACTAGCTTAACGAACCATGCTACCACTGAAAGTTTCTGGTCTACTTTCCACTGCAGCTTTTGCATGCAGTTTCAAATTGCTGAAAAATCTAGCTTCGGTTTTAGTTACCGAAGGATTCATTTAATTCACAAATGACAAACATATGATTTTCGATAACCTGCTGGCTTCGCACATTTCCGAAACATTAGATTCTAAAATTTAACCCTCTACTGGAAAGATTTTCATTATCAACACTCAACATTTTCTAATAAAATATAAACGATGTCTATCAAAACTAGCTTACGAATAATTCACACATAAATCACGGAACGAAAGTATTTATTTATAGAAAAATCAAACTTCACAGTTCTGTGGTATCAGATCAAATAGCGACTGTCACCTCTCGAGTGCACGGAGTTCAAAATTCCACATGCTCCGCCACAATAAAAAACACAATAACCTTTCACATTTGAAACCAGTTCTACGTTTATTTGGCTGAACACCGCGATATCGACGGAATCAAAACAACCATAACTCATCTTCATTAAACAAGATACCCCCCATCGATTCTCCACAAAACCGGCCGTACGCGTCTGACCCAGATTGCGACTCCCACGACCATAAAATCGGGAATAACGCGAGCTGGTCCTCGCGTATCGCCGCGGAACAACAAGCCGCTGCGCCCGCCGAGAATAATTCAACGCTTCCCGACCGGTCCGTCGGAGATCCGTAATTTCCTCGAGAAAAAATCGCGCGAGCCAGGACAATCGGCCGGGCGACGGTTGAACGAATTAAGAACGTTCCCGCGCGCGGACAAAAGGGATTAAAAGTTAATAAAAACAAACGCGCGGCGGCACAGATGCATTAGCAAATCCCTCTAAAGCTGCGTCGGACTCTTTCCTGTCCTCGAGTTCCCGGGATTCGCCCGCTTGTACGCGCGCGCGTGCTTCGTCGTTGTTCCTGATTCCTCGACACAGCAACAAAACGAGGGACGAGATGAAAAAAGAAGGGAGAGGGAGGAAAAGTAGAGACAGAATCTGTTAATCCGTCTTTTGTGCGGCCATCTCTCGGACTGCCGTCGAAAAGTACTGCCGCACAGGGGGACGCTTCGAAGCAGAAATTAAATAAGCTGGAGGGTATCCGTACGCATGAATCCGATTTCCGCGTATTACACTGTCTTCTTGCGGCGCTCGCTACTAATGGTAATTAACTTTTGTTCTGCGCGATGGACCTTCGTTGCACTTTTCCGGGGTACTCTAATGGCGAGCATCGACGATTGAAGTGATTGATGTAACTGTGCATTGATGACAAGTTGGATAGACAAACGCAAGTCTAATTTGATTTTCATTGACACTTTAACCTTTTAAATTCGAGAGGTGACTGGCAATCACCATTTGATTTGACATAGCAAAATTATGTATAATTATATATATTATTAAACTTTGTACAATGCACTAATATGTGGAATATTGAAATAAAATAGCTTTGTTTTTTAATCTATGTATGTTGTCTCATTAGTTTCAAAAAATGTCATTTATGCCTCATCGGAAGATATTGAATAACTCTAGTAAAAAACTTTCGATTGCAAAGAGTTAATTATTTGTCCGAAAACATTCTTCGCGAATATATTTGATTTGTTTCACTATTGTCAATTCGCAAAGAAATGTTCTCAGTCTAAACAATTCAGCGCAAACAGCAACTAAGCTTAGAAATTTGTGATTCAGATATATAAAGACACATTTCCAAAAATCCTCATCACAATTGTAATAATTCTAAACTTACCACCTTTTGATCAACACACAATACAGCTCCCACAGCAAGTGCCAAACATCTCTACAAAAATAGTTCCAAAATCTTATCCCCAAAAATCAAGAATTCATAATGAGCAAGTCAGCCAATCTCCTCTCTCGATCAGCGATCACAATCATCTCGTTGGATGTATGATTCCCGTGTCGAGCACCAGAAATCGTAGTCGCCGGGAATCGCGGATTCGTCGAGGAACAAAGTAGACATTGGTGTGCCGTACTCCGATGTTCCCTCTCTCCAAGTTAAATTGCGCTTCCAGCGGGTGCCAGCGACGATTCTACTTCTTCCCTGACCCGATTTCTTCCGACTCAGCCTCATTCCCGGACGTCGTCGTCGTTACGACGATTCCCGCGTTTTCTCAGAATTAAGAGGACCTTCGGCGTGCATCCTTAGACCCTCTTGAAACGGCCGAGTCACGTGGGACCGCGTTATTGCGTTTCGAGCTGACGTTCCCCGAAGTTTAACCGTTGCTGAACGGTGTACCGATTCGCGAGCGGCCGCGCAGACAGTATAGCATGGCTGAAATGAATGTTTGAGGCTCTTTGAACCAGAGACACCGGCGTCACGCGACCGGTCCTCAATAATACGAAAAGAATGCGCTATTTGCTGGCCGGAATCTAGGTGAACAGCTCCGGAAATGGAATACAGAGTTTCTTTGTCGAAAGGTTTTTAGTCTTGATAATTGTCTTCGGTGCCGCTTTGACGGGACATGCGAATTATTAGACTTCTTGTTTGAGTACGTCTTGGAATATTTGAATTTTAAACTCGGGTTCAGGTAGATTTGTTTGAATAGTCGCGTTTGAGATATGTGGAGGCTGAATTTTTCTCGAAGGACCACCCAATGTTGGGACTAAGAGTTCTAATGACTGATTGACTGAATGATGTACCTCCCTGCATGGAGGTTTTCTGAAGTGTTTCTAATTTGTTCCTGAATGAACGTGGTTGCTAACTGAACGTGTTCTTGATTGATCGTGTTTTTGTTTCTAATTCTCAACTGATTCTGATTCTGGTTTTTCTAAACTGTGTTCTAACTGTACTGATGCTGTTTCTGTTCTGATTCTGAAACCCTGACTAATTCTCTGAAGGGTTTTTATAATCCTCCTGGGTCCACTCCCTCCCTCTCAATGTACGAAGGTGGGCCCAGGGGCGGTTTTTCTATCCCTTCCTAAGTATGATAACCACTCCTGTATCATCCCCTTCCAGTACGCCCATAGCGCGGTATTTCCCTGGAGCGGAGGTAAAGGAGTTGGTCGCTACGCTGGGTGAATGTTTGGCAACGTTGGAGAAATTCCATTAGGTCAAGATCCTTGAGGACACTTTTTTCTGAAATTTTAATGGACCATCTGTAACACGACTTTACGATACCTGGGCTAAAAGTGAAAAAATAGACAATAGTTCATCTCTAAGGTGAACCCTCGTGTGCCGCATATTGGCTGCAGGCCGGCCTGCTAAAGTACCGGACGGAAAGCTAACGGTTATGAACGTATCTATGAATATTTTCCCGTATCGTAAAATTGTCCCCTTGTTGTCCTAACACATGGAAATGAAATTATATTTTCGATTGTATTATCATTAGAACTACCAAGCATTTAATGTCATTGATATGCAATTCATATAAAAAATGTAACAAAAGATTATTTTCAATTTCTTCATACATTAATTATAGTATTCAAGTGAAACTATTTATTTTCGAAATCATTTCAGGTATTCAATGCTTTTAAGGTACCAATAATTACGAAACAAGGAGACCCAGTGTTAGAGGAATTAAGGGTTAAGGAATAGTTTTGATGTAGTTAAGAATATGGTGATCTAGTAGGATATTTTAGTCGTTAGCTAATTTATAAGTATATTGTTTTGTTCATTTATCTAATCCAACATGGAGTTGTTCTACTGAACTACTTTTATATTGTTCACTAAATATTTTATTGGCCTGTTAATTACTGACCCATACTACTTGTAAAACTAGTAACTGATTTATATTTTTGGTCTGATCAACGGCTGATCTACGCTGTTTGCCTATCTTTTAGTAAGATCTTATACAATCTTTGTACAAAATGCCTCTTTCATTGATTACTTTATAAGAATCAGAATAAAGGAAAAAATTTATTTCCCCTGTAAATGTATAAACGTCTATAGTCTTCTTTTAATATTTTAAACACAGGTGATAATAAGTGGAACAGTTTTCATTCTTGAGTACAGTTCTAAGAGAAAAATACGATAAGGAATAAACTTCACCGAAAGAAAAAGTAGTAAAAGTCCGGTCGGAAAAAGCAATGGAAATCAGATATGATACGGACAATTGAAGCGAGGACATAAGGTGACGCAGGAAGTTTTCAGTTTCCCCGCAGAAGTTTCACGCGAAAGTTTAAACGCAGGAACGAAAGCGGAATCGGAGTAGATAAGAAAGACGGTTTGAATCGACGTTATCGAGTAGAGGGTTAATGAGCATTACACGATAAAAACATTCCGCTGGGAATTCGAGCTGAATCGGGATCGGAATTCGAGTTTCCGAAGCATTAAATTTCAACTCTAACTAAAACTATGCTCGAATGAACCAGAAGAACTTGATGTTGCTTTTCCGCTACTCTTGCATTTAAATGATACTTATCTCTTAAATAGCACTCACCCCTTAAAACCAACAATTAACATTTACAGTAAATTTCCTTCAAGAAAGTTTCCAAATTACAAATATACATCCTAGAGTCCACTAAAATAAAATAATAAGGAGGTAATTATTGATAAACACAACAGACCGACCTAAATTATAGGAATACTGTACATACCAGTTCACAAAATACAATAGGTACAACAATAGAAAATCTTTCCCATAACTCTAGAAACTAATCTACTCCACCAAATTGTATTTCAATACAACATACTTTAATTCCAATAACTTCCCTTGTCAATATTAGTAATATCTCAATATTTCAGTATTATTAGAAATAATACATTGAATTAATAATATTACCAATAACATTAATCAATGTCCCAATTTCCCTCAATTCCAAACAGTCTAAATCCATATAACCTTAACAATTCCACGAATTACATAAAGTCCTTTCCAAAATATTGTACATCTCCGACGATACAAAGATCAGGAAATTACGACAAAGAAATTGCTCATTGACATTGTACACTAGGAGACGTCCTCATTAATCGCGCTCACACGTGCCTGTTTACCTTTCAGGACGGCGGCACGGAGTCTTGTTACCGGACAGTGCTCAGCTTCGACACGATCCAATGGTCGCACGCCGGCGAATGGTTGCTGCTGGTCCGCTCGTCGGAAGGGATCGCGGACGCTTCCGTTTTGTTGAACGTGACACGGGCCTCCGGGTACAGTCACGCTCACTTCCGGTCAGCAAGCCTCGCCTGCCTGTCGCTTTGTCTGGCGCTGGCCGTTCTGCAGGAGCACCGTCGCTGAGGAGTCCCCGATTCTAAACGAAACAGAAAAAGCAGCCGAAAGAGGAGGAGGAGGAGGAGAAGGAGGAGAAGAAAAAAACGAGAGAAAAAAAAAAGATATTTCTTAGAAACGAACCGAAACAGAATCGAACGATCCTTACTTCCCCGCGAGTCGCCACGGGGAGGAGGGAGAATGTTTCCGTCAGTATTTCCCGTGACTTCGATGATTGTAAATAATATATAAAAATCAAGCGACAGACGTAGAGAATACGCGAGATCGAAGAAAACGAATCGAACGGAGGAATCGAATATTATTCTCATACTTTCGAACATAAAATCGACGAAAACAATGAATCCTCGTTTGCATACGATTCTGTATTTTACTCGTTTCACTGTTCCTTTTCGTAAAATCACGAAGAAAGATAATGGTTGAAAGCGTTCCAAGAAAAAGGAATTCCTTCTACCAACGTTGCGGTCGACGATTGAAACTTCCGACGACAAAGATAATCCGGCCTCGTCGTTCCTTAATCGCGGATCCTGTCCCCGGGATCCTTCCTTTTTTTTGATACTATTAGAATTTTCTAGAAAATAGATTAAGATATGCGCAGAGCGATCGTAACGAATCGGTAACGTGTAATGGGTTTCTTTCCCTTTCTTTTCGAGTTACTTTTTTCGTGTTACTTTTATCGCGATGCCTTTGTTCCTGCGACGAAGACCGAAGAAAAATGGAGAATAGGGTAGAAGGAAGAGAGACGGGCGAGAAACACGTGAGGAAGAAGGAAACGAAACGCGTTTATTGTTCGAGCGGTTTGAATAGCGGACGTATTTCCCCTGGCTTTGGGAAACGCCGCGGCCATTATGTTCACGGAAGATGCATCGGTGCGTAGGGAAAGTTTGTAAACTAAGTTCGTGGCCCTTCGACACCAGCCATTTCCGGGGCTCTCGTCCCGATCGCGCCGGAAATCACGAGGTTACGCATCACGCGTGGGGAGGGCGCGTGTAAATATTTGTATAGTTTATTTGTAAGACGACGGTGAGGGGAATACACGCGTACAGGCGCACACGCGTGCACAGAGGACACGTACATCGAGAATAAAACGGGAAACGAAGGGAAAAATGTTTGTCGAGACGGTGATTGAACAGGAGACCAATTTTCTCAGTCGGTAACGTCGGCCAGGCTGAACGAAGAATGTTCGATCGAACATGAATCGCTTTTGGTCGCGGTGGACGCGTAACGCGAATGCGTACCGGGTATTTTGAAATTTGTGGGTATCGGTTCGAAGCTGGTTGATCGATGAATTCTTAAAGAAGTTGAGAATTGAGGTTTGAAATTGGTTTCAACGATTTTTGGATAATTTTGTAAGCTATTAGTTTTTAAGATTATATTCTGGAAAGAATTAAAGGGTGTTCGAATGAATATTGGGAACGTTTTATTTTCTTAGAATTTTTGATATTCTGAAATTCAACGGAATAAAGTGATTGATTAGCTTCAATGAAATTTTTATCTTCTCATAATATGGAGCTCATAAGTAAAGTAGAGAAAGTAGTCTTTTGTAAAGATTTACATCTACATACGAACCAGCAACAATATCAAAATTCTTAAATCTTTTTGGACCTTTAAGATGGTTTATCGATGAAATGCAAAGGAAAAAGCAACGTTGACCGAAAGCTTTCCGAAACCATCTTTCCATCGGTGCCAGTAAAATCTAAATTCCGGACCATGAATTTCGAAACGCTCAGTAGAGATATGCGCGCGATACAATCGAACGAGGAAAGAACGAAACGTGCGCGCGGTCGAGGACACCGAAGTGAACGAAACGAAACGAGCGAGCGAGCGAGCGAAGGAAGGAAGAGAGAAACCTAAGTATTGCGGGAATGAAATAGGAAGATTAAAAAAAAATAAAAAAAAGTACATTGTTGTATATTATTTTAGGTAAGTAGTAAACTAAATAGCGTGTATATAGTGATTGTAAATGCATAGGCTATCGAACACACCGACGGCTATGTATGACGAATTATACAGTGACGCTGTTAGAGATATATTTATTATTCGTTGATATATTTTTATAAAGTTTTATTTAGCCATAAGTTCTCGTTTGCCTTTCCCACCCCTTCCTCCTCCCCAGCCCCAACCCACTACCAATCTGAATGTCGTGTATTAATCATCGTGTTAGTTTCACTGTCGTCATGTCACGTGACGAGATTTCACTGACGAGATTGTGCTCTGTAACCATCATCATCATCCCCATCCTCCTTTTACGAACGTCCTAACAGAACAAGAAGCGATGAAGAATTAACGTTACGGTCGTTGTACTTGTAATAGGGAGAAATGATGAGAAAAAAGGAAGAGAGAAGGAGAGAAAGGGAGAGAGGGAGAATGAGTGAGTGATTGAGAGAATAGAAACGAGTGAGAAAGAGGGACAGTGTGTG